AAAAAAAAATTACAACGTGATAGAGATGAAACAGACCTGGAGTTTTTAAGGGATAACTGTAAATAGGAAAGGGATCAAGTGAAAGCTTATAGCCGTCAAAATTAGAATCAAGTAGTGTTGGATCCGGTTTAACATCAATGAAACTCTCCGGCATCAAACCCATCTATTCGAGAAATCTAAAATTCAACGAAAGCAACTTTTCAAAATATATATTTAAACAAATTAAGCAGACAGATAATTAGGTTTCCCGTTTCTACATTACCAATTACACCTTACACATCCCGCAAGCATCCGCTAATCCGGTGGTCTCATCATTTCTAGCATGAAAAGTCCCATTGCGACAATCTGAAGACCTCTCTCATCTCTAATCCGGAAGAGCAGCGACAACGCTCTGTCTTTTCAGTCTCTTCCTCAACTATTTCGAATTCTTTTTGCTCTCTGCATGTCTTATCGCTCCATTTACCTTTTCGAATTAAATTAAATTTTCGGTCATTTTTGAAATGATAAATTTGATTGTGCTGAAAGATGATTGGATTAGATCATTATCACTGTCACAATAAATGAATCTTTCAAAATCGAACATAAGGGATTGATTCAGAAAAAAGTTCAGAACCGATGCTGCTAAACTTTCGGTGCGTCTTTTTAGTGCCTTTTTAGTTTTGAAAGTGTAATCGATGGAGTGCTACTAAATTTGCTAATACGATCATAAATTTGATATCTAACTGATAGCTAAATATTCATATTTGTATATTACTTTCTTGATTATACTAAGGAATAAAAAGTTCCATCGATTTTAATCTTTTTTTTTTACGGGATGGCACTGCTAAATTCGAATTAACTTATTTCTAAACTATTTTTGTTTCCTATCCTTCTAAATTTAAATGCTACTCCAAAAATTTAATCTAAACTAATGCAAATAAACAATTAGTTTTTTTTTTTTTAATTTTATAGATGTATTAGCGGCCAAAAAGACATTTTCTCAAATTTCTACATTTTTAATTGCAAGGCTTTTAAAATACCTAGACGATTCCTTCCCTTATTATTTTATTATCTTCCCATTTTTACTTTAATTTAAATACTCATCTCTTTCATAACTTCAGTTGGACATATTGATTTTCTGAGAATTATTTAACTGAGTACTGTTGAGAGAAAAAATTTCGAAAAACTTCAAATGATTTCTACAACTTTCTAATGCAGTGATATTTCTCGACTGTAACTTTTCAATGTTGTGTGCTTGAGGTAAATTTTTTTCGAATTACTTTAATAAAGTAAAAGATGTAAATTGTAAATTTGCGAAATTTTATATTTTATTTCATATTTCCATATGACCTGGTATGACCTGATTTGTTTCAAAAGCTCCTTACAACAGCGTTTTAAGTTTAATGTGACGGAATGATTAAGTTAGCTTTCTCACTTTCTCCACCTTAATGTGTTTTCATCTCATTATTTTGTAACAATTTCATGTCATTTCAAGAGCAATGAAGCACGAAAGGTACTTTCACTACTCATTTTCGACAATCGACAAAGGACATGTCCATATATATTGTCTATTGTCCTAACCAGCGGACGTGCCCGCACATGCTGTCTATTGTCCTAACAAAGTCACGTGTTCTTACGTATCGTTCATTGTATACTTTTCCACTAATTTATTGTAGTTATTGGAAATTTGAAATAAATGCTTTTCAAGTTGCATTGGAATCAGATTTAATTAAATTTAATCAAACTTAACGTCTAATTCGAATTTATTTTAGCTACAATTTACTCCAAAATATAAGGAAAACTAAGAAAAACTTCTCTGTATGTATCACCAACAAATTTGATAAATCCATAAGGATTGAAAAAATTGAAATCATTTAATGAATTGAAATCATTTATTGGTTGATTTCTTCCCAAAACAATACAAATTGTTTTGAGAAGAAAAATATTCAGTTAGGATCATCGGAGGATTTAGTAAGGAACGAAACAGAAGTTTGTTGATATTGATCTCCGAAATTTACTTCGAGAATCTATGAATCATTTCATTAGTCAAGTGTTTTGATCTCCCTCTCTCTTTCTCTTTCTCTCTCCGTCTCTAAAATGTATTATGCGATGTGCCATTTGAGGATTAACTTTATGTAAGGAAAAGAGGGTAATGTATTTCAAATGAATTTTCAAAATTAGGTTAACCATATAGCACTGACCTGATTACAGTTTCACTGATAATAGTGTATTATCAGCGAACATTGTTACGAGCGGATTATCTTTTCTCAGATAACTAATCATTCAATTTGTCAGAGATTGACACATTTCTTCTTTTATCTTTCCACTGTCAGAGATTCTTTCTAAACTTTCGGACTATTTGAATGACACTAAAAGATATATAATTACTAATACTATTTCAGATTTATTCTCAGATTAGATGAATTGTATGTTGAAGTTTAAAAATAATTTTACCATAAAATGCTTATCAAATGCTAACTGAAAGATAAGCATTTTTACTCTTAGCTTGACTTATGAACATAAGTTAGCATGATGAATTGAAAGCCAAAACGATAAACGGAAGAAATAATGAATTTCGTGAAACACGAGAAATATTATGACTTAAAAAAAATTGATCAAAACTTAAAATGAATAATCAGGAATAAATTTAAAAGTAAAAAATTAATAGGACAAATAACTCTCATCGTATTATTATCAGAAGCTGAAGATTATCGAGTAACAAATGAGGCCTTTGATTATGTTAGTATGATGTGGTCATTTCTAGGATGTAATACAGAAGATGAAATCCGCCCTGCTCCTGCAACAAGGTCATTTCCAGAGTCCTTCACCCGAACAATCAACCAATGAATGAGACCGCCATCGTTTTTCAATTTCCCTTTGCGCTTTTGTGACAACAATCACTATAATGGATTATGTAACTTCATGATCGTACGACAATTCGATTCCTCCATTCAAGTGATTCAATCTATTTCTCGATCTTTGCTTTCGGCACTATTCCATCATCGAGATCATTGAATTCATTCTTCATTAAATCAGCCAATTGTTTTCCATTAATATCAATGGAATAATTTTTTGCTCAATTATCCCGTTCATTTAGTCTACTAATTTATTACTTAATGAATAGAATTTATGTAGAAAGCATAGAAATTAATTTTTATATATAATAATCACTCTTTATTTTTCCTTTGTTGAAATTTGAAAATATTACAAATAATTTATCAATTAGTGAATATACTTACTATATGAAAATATTATTTAGAGATTTATTTTTCTACAATAAATCATAATTATTAATAGTTAATCTGATTATTGCTTTTATTTTTTCATTTCTAGCTTGCATTGATTAAATTTTTCCAATTGAATTTCTTGATATGAATAGGCCAACTGTTTACACTTATTTCTCATCAACATAAACTTTATCTGATTTTTTTTTCTTTAGCGGTATAAGTCAAATTGACCTTAGGTGAAAAAAAAAAGGTGACAGAAGTTGGAATTTAAATTGCTGGAAGCAATGCAAAGGTCTTACAATAATGAAAATGCTTCAATTATATCATTGCATTACTGAATTTATGCCGAAGGTGATAATAAGATGTATTATTTCTGGCACACTTATCTTTCTGCATATTTTTTTAATCAAAAATTGAATCATTTGATTATACGTATTTCGACTGCAATTTATGCTTCCTATTAAAGGCATTCTAAAAAGCATTAGAATTTTAGAAAATTTAGTAATAAATAATTTAATAATAATAAGCATTAGAATTAGAAAAATTTAATATTATTTAAATAGCCTTAATTGCTGTTAAAAAAAATTTTTTTTTTTGGAATGTTAGGTGAATATGAGAGCGAAAGAGGTATTGTTGTTTTTTGCTCTCTTAACTGGGCTAATGAGACCAGCTTATTCAGATTCTTAATTAATTACTCAATGATATATCTTTGGTTCACAAATGACCTTCTCATATATGGACACGCAATGAAGTATAATTTAACGATGAAGAGAGTAATTTATAACTAAGAGGCTCATTTTTGCCACAATCTGATAATTGAAATGGGAACAATCAACGATCACCATTGTTTATTATTTGTCATGCAATATGTGAAATTTAATTTACTTTACTTTTTGCCATTTCTTCATCTCGTGCTATTGTCCTTGATCGTAACAGAAAAAAAAATAGAAAACTGTAACAATAAATTGGGAAAACTTAGTTGTAGACAGAAATGTAATAGTGGAAAATGTGAAAAGGTAGCAAACTTTCCATAGTTCATTGATTCGTAAAACTTTAAATTAAGTTTGAAAATACTGGGCCTAATTAGATCTTTACGCAATTAAACAGAGTTTTTCCTTCGATAAAATCATTGAAATTGCCAATTTGAATTTGAATGAAAGAAAAGTCTTATAAAAATTTTTTATATTTTCACAAAAAAAATTATCAACAACGAAAAATTCTCTTATCAATGGGCAAAGGATTGAGTGGAATTGTTTTGCACACAAAAATATTCAGGTGTAATTAATTGGAGAGTTCCTGGATAATCGTTTTTTTTTCCTTGTTCCATCAATTTTTATCTATAAAATCATCGGTTGTCAGCTTATGTTGAATTATCCAATTGGACATTTGATTTGTAAGATTTATTAAACATGAAAAATATCACAAGGTTTTTGATAATAAAAGTTCCACTGGCTAGCTAATTGGACATTGTAAAGAAAAGAAAAAAGAAACGAAAACAAATGTCACATTTCTTTTTGGTAAATTTGGTGCGTCTTTCCTCAATGTAATAACAAATTGTCTCCTTTAATTCTAAAAAAAAAGCCCCACACTAATTATGAGTTGGCGGAAAAAAAGTTGAAAAAAAATGGAAAAAAAAAAATGTCATATTTGTACATTAGAGAATGAAAATGGAAAAGTAAAGAATGAAAAATTGTTAGCTTGGAAAGCTATCATAGATTTTCATGGGAAGAAACGAATTCTATCAACGTGTTCGAAGAGTTAACTTTAAGTAAAGCGAGATATATCAGGGAAAAAAATGATGAGCATATCATCTCTACAGCATTGTCATCGAATTTTTCAACCGATTTTCACTATTTTTTTCAATTTCATTGTAGTGACAAGAGCTCTTTTATCAGTATCAATACATTAAAGAACTTAGATTAATTTGGAATTTTTGAATTTCATTTAGAAGCCAGAA